CACAGTGACCTTTAAATTAAATAAAAACAGCGTTCGCATTGGGGAAACCTGTATACAAAACCGATAAGGTCGATAAGGTTTAATTCATGAAAACCAAAAGGGTTCTATGTCAGGTTTTTTTAAAATAACTTTTTTTATATTCTATTTGTAATTATTAAATCTTTCATACATTTTTGTAAAACTTAAGAAGGTATTTAATCAGACGCAGTGAACCAAAGGTTCTGTCTTGCTGTAAAATTAAGAATAGTTAATTTAATTATCTTCTGGATGGAACTTTTGTTTTTAAAAATTATTTAAGAATAATTTTCTTTATTTCCATGTTTTTTTAATCGCTCAATAACAATACAATAATTACACGGTTTATATTTTAGGACAATAACACGGAATATTATGGAGTCGTAGTGTAGATATGTTACTGGACAAACCCTTACTTCTCTCAGTGAATAAGCCATTATTGAATTAATTGAGTATTAAACTATAAGATGTTCATATGATTATTTTCAAAGTTTAGAAGATATACCACATTTATTATTATTTTTAGAACTAAAAAGACTATTTATTAAAAATAAAAAATATTTTGAACAGAAGATTGTCTATGTATTTATATGTAATATTTTTCGATAATTTATTTTTGTTTTGATGAATATAATATTTAAAGTAACATAAATTGTATGCCATTTGATTTTCACTAAACAAATTTTTATTATTGCGTGGCAGAAAAAATGATACGAGCGTATAAACCTTAACAACGTAAAATCTTTTATGTTTTCAACTACAAGACTAAAAAAATTGAATCATACGTTTCTGTCAATAAAAGTTTGATAATGCTAAATGAGCGAATATTATAATAAAATATCACATCATAAAGTTTTAACAGCGTTATGTTGAACAAATATTGATGCTAAAAAAATCTCCCATACAATGTTTTTATTTATTAATATATTAATAAATTGTCAAAAACAAAAAATAGAAAACATTTAATAATTCAATGTCTTTTCGATTTGAATCCCATATGAACGGTTATTAGAGATATTTGACAACTGCTTTTAGTAACCATTAACAAAACGACAGATTTTGATAATCCCCAGGGTATAGCCAGTGGCGTTCGATAAACATTTTCGTAGACCTCTCAACAACCGATTAAAGAGGGCGTCACCCTCAATAAATTTTTATTGAATTTTAATGAGTCACATGGAATTATTGGATTTTTTTCAACTTATAAACTGTTTATGTACAAGCGAAACTTGAAGATTAAGAAATTGAAGGTGTTAAGAACCTTAGTATTATGTTCGAACTATTGCGACGTGATTTCCATAAATAAATGAAATACAGAAACATTCAAGTTTTGTAAAGTGTAAAATAACTGATTTTATGAGATGGCTACTTGCATTGAGCTTTGGGAAATATTAAAATATTTTATGATTTTTGTATAAACTTTTTATAAATATTAGTTTTGATAAACTCGGTTACTGATAAAATTATAAAAAAATATTGTTTAACAGCATACATCCAATACTTTATCATACTATGCAGCATGATGAGATACTTTTCGTTGAACAACTTATCATATTGACTGTTAAAATTAAAGGCAATTTCCATTATTATCTATATTTGACACAAGTATAAAACTTTAAGTGCAAATTGTCCTCTTATCTCTAAGAAAATTACATTAATATTTAAATGTATTACTATTGCTGATCAAGAGAGGAAGACAATACTATAATAAGAATTTATCACTTGTGACTAATATTGTTTAAAATTAACATTTTTTTTAATATTTTAAATTAATTTTTTTATTTAAAATAAGACATTTATTTAATAATTTCATTAACCTTCTATAAAAATCATATAATCAGTAAGTATAATTGAAGTTTTATTTTAAAGAGACGATCGTTTTTGAAAATTAATCATTCAAAGTTAATCTGACTCATTTTAAGCTAATTGTTTTGTTTCTCTGAAATGTACAAATATATTTCTGAATTCAATTAATACACACAGCGAAAACATGGATAATCAATGGTGAAAGAGTTACTGTCAATATATGATGGAATATTTTAATTATATTTGTATATTCGAAATGTCAACAAAATATGTAATAATATCATTTAATGAAAATCTTATAAAGTAGGTGTGTAACAATTGTTAATTAATGTATTGATGGTATTGGAATTATTGGTTAAAGTGTCAGACTATTCTGTGATTTCGGTTCACCAGTATTAAAATAAATGTATTTGATACGAATATTTATTTGGTATTGCGCTAATGAAAACACATTGCTAAATTAAACACGGTGGAATATGTTAAAATTAAAAATCAAGTCAACCGCTTTGAGGAGCGCTTTTGTCTTGAAAGCTTGTACGTATAACACAAGTTTAGCACAAGATTGTTCGTGTACTTACTAAATCAGTTTTCAATCAAATAAAGTTATATATTAGCCGTAATACGATCACGACTCTCAATTGTAATGCAAAACGTATTGTTGTCGTCCCCAAGACAATCGTCGCTCCGATCATTTTCATTACCATGATTGCGCATTAACGCAATCTACTTAATTACGATAAGTAACCAGTGGGTTACATTAACAGACAACAATAAAAGTACTTTATTTTAAATCATCCAATAGAGACTTAAAGTGAGTACTCACAACTGAAATTACTAATACATGAATGGGGATGGATGCTGTTTTTATTATTGTTGAGAGACAAATAAAACATTTTTATAAATGTTTATTGTAAATTTATATATATAGATGTGTGTGTGTGTGTATACGTATGCCTAATAACGAATTTCAATTATTACTACTATGACAAAGAAATAAACTTTATCGATAAATGTAAAATTTGATTTTAGTTGAGATTTCTTAAAAATATATTATATTTGCAATACAATATAATTTTATAATAATAATAATTTTATATTTTTTGTTTCTTAAATAAATTTTTTTATATGTAATTATAAATTCTATAGCCACAAGAGCTATTAGCATTTTACAATGTTTATTTGTTTTAATCTGTTGTTTTACAAATGTGAAAGAAACAAAAAAATCAATTATTATTTTTATAACTCAGAATCACTTATAAGTTTTCATTCTACATGAACAGTGGAATTATTTTTAACGTCATAAACGTTGAATCATTTTGACAAAGATCTTCTAACATTTCTTACTATTTTTTAAGGAAAAAAAATAGTTATTTTTTTTATGACTTTTAATATTAATTTATGAAGAAAGCATTGGCCCGAACAAATACGGTTTTAAGAAAAAATATTACATTCCGGTGGTTACCTGTTTTTCTTTCGTCTTTTTTCCCATAGCATTGGCTATGATTGTAAATATTTTCTTGACGTACTGGATAAAGATAAAATGGGATTAAACAACCATCGCAGAGGAAAAAATAATGGAATTCATTACTATTAATTTTCTTTTGACTTACTGTGAATTCATACTATTATTTTTCATTTGTATGTAAAGCAAATATCATTTTTTTTTTTTTCAATATAAGAAAAAATATTAAATACCTTAAATATTATGCAAATGAGATACAAAAATTCCAATGAAGTCATAATTGGAAGTACTCTTAGACTTTTTGAATGAGTTTGATAATTTTGGACTAAATTATATAATTATAATATTTGTTATAGTATACACGAATAAATATTATTCAATCGTTTATTTAGTGAACTTAAGCAAAAATATTTTTCTTCAAACGTTTTAGGTATCTAACGATGTAATTCAAATTTCGTTATTAAGTAAAATTTAACATTCCTAACAAATGCTCTTACATTCTTTTATAAATAATTTAAAAATTACTCGTATTATAAACTTTTTCAAATAAAATAATAATTTAAACAAATATGATTAGTAATTTTGTTTAACTGTTTAAATTCCTTATATAAAATACAATTCAATAAATTATTGTCTTAATAATGATTATGTAACGTATTCTTAAAAATATTAATTAGTAGAAAGTTAAGTTCATGAGTATTTAATTGGACAAAATATTAACCATAATCAAAAACTTACACCATCTTTTGACTTAATAATTGAGGCGATGTAAAATATACCTAGAAAATTTTCTAAATAGTTAAATGCATTATTAATAAGTATAAAAAAATGATCAAATTTGAAAAATTGATACCCCAGAATAATTTTAGTATATCAAGTGTATATTGGCGTACATTAATCGTTGATGTTACTGATGTAATAGAACAGAAATTATAGTAAATATTTAATAATTTCTATAGTCCTCTGGCAGATTTTATGCCAGCACAGATGCGTTAAACGACCGAAAATCCCGCTGGGCGAAATCTCAACCCTCTCTTATACCTTGCACTTTACCCCTGTGATCATACACCGACAAAAACCAATGACCTATTAATTACTGTACTTCTCCAACTCCTCTCTACTATCGATAATTTATTGCTCATTTATCGCCATTACTAACTAATTTCCTCGTATATAACCAAATCTGTTCCCATCCACATATTGTATTACCAAATATTCATTTAATATATTTAATATTATCAATCAAATATTTGAGGAGTATATTTAGTTTCTTAAATCAATAAACGTAGTTTTATTACTGCCAGTTATCGTGAAATCATTGTTATTTCCTTAAAAAAATACATCCAACTATATAAAAAAATGAAAAAACAATTTGCCAATGAAATCCACAACGTTTTTGTTTTTCATTTGTAGGTTTGTGAACAATATTATCCGAAATGATTTTTAGTTGTTGATTTGTAAGTTGTAACTGATAAATTTGAGTTCAGAATTTTAAAAGAATAGTTTTTATTCGTATAGAATAATCAAAAAAACAAAATTTCTTGTCCGAATAAATTATGGTAACTTTCGAGACTTATGGATTATAATATCGCAAAATTAGAATCACTTCGTAAAGTGTTGACTAATTAAATGTTTACAGTGGAACGTGTTGTAATAAAGATAATTCTAAATTAAAGATAATAATAAGAGAATGTATTTTTATATTTTGTTAACAGTTCACATAGAAAATGTAGAAATAACTTTTAATAATATAAATTAAATTTTAATCATAGTCTGATAATCATAATAATAAATATAGAAATGTTGGATAACCCAAGTCTTTTTTTTTATACTACATGGAACGTCTAATTTGAACCCAGGCAATGGAATAAAATCGTTTTAACACAGTCATACGGCAAACCATGCTGACTTTCTTATGAATTTTCAACCAAGTCTTACAGCTGAATTTTTTGCGGCAGATCTCGCAAACAAAAACTTGAACCAGTCGTCGACGTTCTCTGCTATTTAACTGCGACAACAAATGTCCATGATGCCTGTGCCTGTTTTGGGATACATTCATCATCATAATCTTTTTCTCTAACATCTGTCTAGGCGATGAGTAAAACACTTGAGAACATTCGACGCATGTGAAATTGTCCATCTTGTCATGTGATAGAATATGCTCTTCGATAGACTGACGGTGTATGAACTTTTTATTACATAGAGTACATACAAACTTCTCATCATGCATATCATAGTAGGACAGCTCGACAGTGTGATACATGTGTTCCTGTTTTTTTTTTACCATTACTATTTTCTTTTTTCCTAAAGGTGGCCAGTCGAAAGAAGTAGAAGGTAGTTGATACGGAATGTCGATGTGAGATGTATTGGTATTAACTCCTTGAAAGAAAGCAGTTGATGGGGTGCCAGTGACAATAGTTACACGTTTTTTTCTGGGAACTTTGATTAAAACAAACCTCCTAACTACATTAGGTGGTGGAACCCTGTCATATAAATAAATAATTATATTTAATTATTACATTTAAATCATTTTTATAAGAAAAATATTTAAAAATTTTAATTTAATAACTTTGAAAAAGTAGGTATAGAAGTGTAATAAAATATCTAAAAACTTAACAGGAAACAACAAAATGAGTAGGGTGTGATTTTACACTGCCTCCTTGTCTGAATAATTATTTCAAGTAGTAATAAACTATAAAATTTAAAACCCCGTATTAGGATTTAAGGATTACTGTTATTTGTAATAAATAAAAATGATTCTGTTTAAGTAAATATAATCCGTACATTTATAAATTACTTGAAAAATATTAAAATATTTTCAATTTTTGAGATTAGAGAAATTACATTAATTTAAAATACCCATTACTATACATTAAGTATAAGGTAAAACAAACTAATTTGTATTGCAAAACTATGATTATCATCTACTATAATTTTTACAGTAATATTAACTTTTTAATGAATACCTAGTAAAATAACTCCATTGAAATATTCTCATCATTATCAAAGCATATCAGTAAAAAATTTATAGATTTAATATGTACTTTAATCGTATTACAGAATTATAATTAAAAAAAACTATATTTTTCTGCTAAAAAAATTGTTTATAATCTTACTCGGAAGATAATCGCTTTACACATATATATATTATTGTGTTACAAACATTTAATTGAAAAAAAATCTTTACTTTCATGATGAAAAATATTAGAGATATTAATTTTACGCTAAAAAATTATTTTTCTTTCTATATAAAGAAAAAACAAAGGACAATTACGTTGTTGTCGAAGCTTGTTCAGCACTTATGTCTTGATGGACATTTTCTACCTTTACGTTTTCCTGGGTATCTACATTAAAATAAAATAGTCTTTATTATAATATATATATATAAATAATGACAAAGTATAATATTATGAGTATCCCCAAATTCACAAAACTATATTAGATGTGATGTAGAAAATGTATAATTACCGGCTAGTTTTTTCGTCGGTTCTTGTTGGTCCATATTTATCAATTTAGGCTAAAAAATTATTAAAAATAATTTTAATAAACAATTTAAATTAAATAATTATTTCACCACAAGAGTTGAGGAAATAAGTAAAAACTTAATTAAAGTGACGTTTAGAAGAAGCATTAACTAAAAAAATTTTAGAATGATTAAAGCTAGTACGGATCCCACAGATTATATATTATAAAATGTCGTTTGTATCCATCGTTACTGTCCACGATTACTTTCCTGTTGTTTTATTTAGTTGTTATCGTTAAACTAATATACATTTTTGGTGATATTAAATTAAAAAATGTAACCAGAAATTAAACAGTTGTACAATTAATGTATTATATTTTTTAAGTTTCTTATTTTATTTATGTTTTTGTATTCTTAAAACAACTTAAGTTATTTTTATAGGTTTAATAATACAATAATTTTATTTAATAATTAATGAGGTACGAGTAAATTAAAATCAATATAAATGGGAAAAAAATATCTCATTCAATAATAAAAATGATTTAATCTAAGTCTTCTTCTAAATTATTGAAATAAAATTATGTTTTTCGATTTTTCGAAAATATATACTCATTATAATGCTTTAAAACGTTTAAAATTATATCTTATAATTTTAGCTATAAGAATAATTGTAAACAACATACTACATTGTATTGTATACTTACAAACAAATTGATACTCAACAATTTTTAATTATAATTTTTTCTGAATGAATTGCAATGTTCAAATTTTCATCGAATTTTTCATCATATAAATTTTAATTTAGGAAGTGTTGTCAACTAAGACAACACAGATTGTTTTATTTACTATTACTAAAGCTGGAATTTTATATACTTTTAATTTTAAAAGTTTAACTTTTCTTTTCTTACATCTTAATCTCTTGTGCTCGAAAATTGATTTTTATATTCGATTAAGTAATACTGTAATTTTATTAAAATTCAAAAACTTCATGATTAATTGAAAAACAAAAAATGTTACTACATCAAAAACAGTTTATCTAAGTACGTTTGAGTTTTCACATAGGAAAAAAACATAGTTATGATTTACTAATTGAATCTTAACTAAATTTAGTTTGATATGGCTACTAGAGATTCTCGTAATTCGAATGGTTTTTGGTTTTTACCGTATCAATTTATATTACCAATAAAATTACGATTGGTTATAAATTTATCAAATTTAACTGAGTAATTCTAAGAAGAGTTATCGAATGTACAATTTTTTTCTTTGGATAAATCGAGAAAAGTACATGAAGTGTCAAATTATAAAGATTTATCTACTAGAATATGATTGGTTAAGGGAATCGCTATACAATGGTGTCCAAGACGCATTACAACATCATTTGTATCACTTTAGTGTCTTCCGATCTGTTTAAATTCATCTCACACTTTTATTTAAACTCAAATTTGCATCATTTTTTAAAGTTTAGTGTACTGATGTAAAATTGTTTGTGTAACAGCACAAACTGAATTCCAATGATATTCTTGGAAAACCATATGTTCATCACAGCGATCTAAATAAAAAGAAAGACATGCCTGAAATTTTGATTAAAAGACTAATTTCCCTTGAATAGCATCACCTGTTACTAGTGTAAATAGACAGTTTTATGCTCAACAATTTAATTTGAATTCTTATAGTGTAAGACTCGAGTATCGGTATAATACAATGTAAATTACATCAGCCAAATAAGATATTAATATAAATGTAATTTAATAATTACTAACATAATCACTTCAAACTATAAATTTGTGATATGATTACAATGATAGTATGACAACTTTTTTACATATTTTATTTAAAAATAATAATAATTCCTACTTAAATAAAAGTACATTTTTTCCATTTCACTAAATCTTAAAATTAACAATTTTTAGTGCAAAAATTACAAAAACAATAACTTAAACATTTTTTTAATGGAGATGTTTACCATTACTAAAAGACATAAATTATGAGGATTTATATACTGGAATACCTTGTTTGGTATGCGGCGATAAATCAATAAAATATTGGCATGTAATATAATAACATGTTATAGATATTTTCAACAAAAGACTAAACGCAATTGTTTTTGAAATATTTATTTTTTCTTTGGTAAAAATTTTAAGAATTTAACAAATAAAATTTCTGTAAAATATATTTTTATTTAACGGTAAGAATCATTAGTATTTCTTTGTACAACAATACAACACCAAATCATAATATTCGCAATAAGTTGCTGAATATTTTTTCGCTCTTTTGCATTTTCCGTAACATATTATTTATAAACAACGACGGAAAAACTTTTGAAGTTACACCGGAAACAAGAACAGCAGTAGCGGCAAAATCAACACCGATCTATTTTGTCATTCTTGTCAAAATCTGGATTCCGGTCGGATCCCCTTGTGAGTTATGATCTTTCAAGCCGTAGTTTTGCCGCGGAAAAACTACAAACGGATTTTCGACCGACTTGATACAAATTATTGTTTTATAATGCTGCAATGGCTCCTTGTCGAAAACAATAGTAATATATGACTCGATAATATTTCAAAATAATATTGTACACACTGTATAAATGTTTGTCCACTCGTGAACACTGTATATAAAATTATTTGTATTTTAGGTAATCAGTGAAAAAACATTATTTCAACATAACTGTAATAATAACAGTAGCGCAACTACCGGTAGTGCTATGTCGAGTTTATTGTAGGCTCTATTACCTTTCTTAAACTTAAAACCTACAAATTCAATTAAATATTTTTATTTATAAAAACTCATCATCAATTTTTTTTTTATTTTGCATTTCATTTATATTATGCTACTATTGCAGCATACAAAATCTTAATTTTGAGTATACTTAGACATTTCAATATTAAACCACCGATCAAAGATCATTAACTCGGTTATACAGCCATTTATAAACCACCATCATTAATACATCTATTGTACATTATACAGCTATCTATATTATTGAAGTGGATGGAAAAGCATTGAGCCTCTCACAGCTTTTTGAGTCTTACACAACTTTAGCATCCCCTGGATTTTTACTCTTGTTGTGCCACTGAATATTAATTTTCTATAGCAGAAATAATGAATTCTTTCTTTTTCAAGCAATAAAAAAATATATATATAAAATTTTTTCCAGCGACATTTTTGCGTATTAGGTAATATTTAAATATTGACTACATGTAGTATTAGTATAAACACACCATCTACATATACATTATAAATAGTACTAATAATTAATTTGTCAGTTATATGAAACAAGAGATTCCAAGGTACGATATTATTTCAAAACGTGTTTTGTATCATCATTATTTTGATTTCTGTAAAATAAATCAAATATTACATGCAATAAACTAATATGTAATATGCATTATTTCAAATGCACCTACGTATTTGAAGTATTGCGTAGTAATACATTTCGATCTACTAAATGGTATTTAACTCGTTTGATTCAGGCGACTGACAGCGTCGATAATTGATAATTAAATTGAATTTTTACTGCTTGTTTTGATACAAATAAACGCCATGAAACTTTGTAGAAAGTCATAACACCAAAGTCTACGTGGGACCCAAGTCGTCTGTTGATTTAAGTGTATCCGCAAGGTGTTTCTTGACGGCGTTTCATAGTATATTTGTAGGCAAGTGGTAGTAAATGGAGTGCAGCTAGGTGAAAATAACTCATAACAGCATCTATATTCAATGTACAGGAAAACAATTGAGTGTCACAATTACTAAAGGCGATGCGGTGCAACATTAACCAACGAGTTGATTAATGAACAACGTTAAAGACGTAGGCTAAAGTTTGAATTCGAGTAACTTTGCCGGAGCGTAATCTCTGGTTTCCAACTCACCCACTACCAAGTGCTCACTGTTTTTACCGACTGCAATAATTGAAAAAGGTTAAGAGGAAGAAGGATGCCCCTTTTTTCACATAAATTATTGTTCATTACTTCCATTTACATTTAATCATATTATTAATCTTATTGCTTATATTATTACAAAAGTCTGTCCAATGTACTACGAAGGGATAAATTAAGAGTATAATAAATTGTGTATACATCGAAGAAGGCTATTAATTCAACAAAAAAAAGCTAAGAAAAATCGTACAAAGAAATTTGGTAACGATCTCTTACGAAATAACAATGAGAAACACGTTTTATGTTATTTCTTTGCCTAAGTAAAAATAATTGTTTACGACTGACACTTATTACCGTGCACGTCATTAGTTTTGCATTTTCAAAGAGCCATAAATTGTTTTCTCAAACGACAAATTGTACATTTAGTCACTTCAATCTAATATTTTTTATATAATAACAATTACATTGAATAAATAACCATAAAATAAATTTTACTATTTTTATTTTTACTTTTTTGAGAGTATCTAGAAAGATAATGATAACATTTTATTAATTAGAGGAAATCTGCCTAATGTGGATCACTTTGGATTCTCAGGGCTCTCCTAGGAAAGAAATAAATTTTTATAAAGTTATAAATGTAGGACACGACTAAAATAACAAATACATATGCGAGAAAAATTTGGCATAGTTAGTTTAAATTTATTGTAATTCAAAAGTCAAATGGCATGGCTACCTGACAAGACCTGACATTGTCAAATGATATTTCATACGGGTCTATTACACATGACCTGATTTGATGTCTGTTCTGGTCAAATTATCCTATCCAAAATAGATAGTGTGGGCCTTCATATTTACGTAATAACCATTTATCGTAATTAGAAAAAAAAGGCAAAAAGAAGTATTGGTGAAAGTATGAAAGGAATGAAGTGTTGGTTGAGTCTAAGGTTTTTAGAAAACCATCTGTTATATCGGAGAACGTTGTCCGAAGGACTGAGTAAACTGAGGTTAAAAGAGTGAGTTTACATAACTGAACAACTTGCTTGTTTATTATATTCTGCTATAAGTCGAGTATCGATATTTTCCTAACTGTGACTTTATTTTAGGACACTTATATATGTAAATTATAAAATTATCACAAGACCCTTATAAATTGTGGATATTTTATGTAAGAAAAATTATGGATAATAATTAATCCAATATTATTTTAATGTTTGACACTATCGCTTGCATAAGACGAATAATGGCCGGTATGAAACAATAAAAAATTATCCAACATATTGGCTAGTAAGAGATTTCTTATCCTTATATAAGCTCCCTTTCTTCTTGAGCTTATAATCAGTCTCAACAAGGCTATTTTTTATTGTTAAGTCATCAAAAAACGTATAACACATACTATACATCTGTTTGATATTTTCTTTTACAATTGTATATACTGTTAATTAATTTTAGATTATAATTGACACATTTATATTCCTTTGTTTTACATATAATAATAAGAGTTTATAAGTGTAATATAATCATTCTCATATGAAAGAAACACATATTTGATGAAGTTTAATTAGTTGATATATTTATGACTTTTGTGTGAAATGTATATAAAATAAATAATATGGATGTTATACATGTTTTTGTTACATATTGTTACTTTAAATTCGAACTTAAGAAGTTAGAAGAGTAATAGTTTTTAAAGAAAAATATTCTAAATTGATACCTGTTATAAGATTATGTCAACAATATTTTATAAAGTTACGCATAAAACTTTCTCAAAATATATCATTTTCATTAATATTAAATTATTTCATACCTCATATTTTTCTAAAATACAAATTCAATACTATTTGACCATTCTCATAATACGTTAATTATATTACTATTATAACGATTTAAAATGTATATATATATATATATTACTTGTTTGATAAAAATAAAAATATTGCAAAATCGTTATATAGGTATTAAACTTAGGCCGTCAGCTCATTGAAATTTAAAGTTTATTCTTATTTTAGGTAAGTAAGAAAAATTTTTCATCTAAAATATGCAGGTTGTCTAGCCAGATTTCAACATTTTAATATCTCATGATCCATTATAAATTTTTTTAAATAATTCATACAATTTCAAATTACGTTAAAAGCATATTTTTTTACTAATTGCCTCTATTAAAAAAGAAAAATTTTAAAAAATTGCAATTATTTTATTTATTTTTTATTAGAGAGACAAATAATACATATGCTCCAAAAAACTGAAAAGTAATAAAATTCCTTGTAAAAATTGAATTCTTCGATATCATTTAAATTATTCAATTCATTATTTTTCTTTAATTTGTTAACATAATCATAATGTATCATTCAATTTCTGTTAATATTTCAGCACTAAATGTAATTAATTTAATCTAAACCAATAGCCAGAGTTGCTGTGGTTTCCAATAAAAAATAACCATTATATACAGGAACAAGATATATCTATATATATATATATATACAAATAGAATGGATTTTTCTTTGAACGACAAATCCAACTTAAAGATTCCATTTATTCTTAAATACACTCCTGTATACATAATTAATGTAACAATGAATTCGTGGAAATGAAAACACAAAATGATGTAAATTAAAGTTGAATTTCTTAACATTTAGTAATTTCTATCAACAAATTTTAATTCATGTTCTCTGAAAAATAGGACTTTAATATTTCTCTTTTTAGATTTTGTTAAGGAACGAAATATTCAATTATTAAAAGCTGATTAATTTTCTAGGAACGTCATTATATGGTGCTCATCATTTATGAAATACTCGGAAAAATCCCGAGTTTGACTTAATATAAGTCAGCTTATATATCTCTACAAGTTATACTTCAATCAACCAAAATAAATTTATCAGTTAAATGTGTTAAAAACTATTTTGGTTTTTAAAAACACTTAAAAATTTGATAATCGTTGTTATTTATTTGTACAACTTTAATACATGAATTAATAACGAGATTATTCTCCAAAACCACGCCAGTTTGGAGGTTACTTTTATTTCAACTTTTTTAATTAATTATATTTTGCGTTTTGAAATCCACCTCTCGTTTTGTACACCTCAGTAAATTGTTATTTAAAAGCAGTAAAGAACAGGTGGCACACGAGCTACCCCAAGCATATCGATAGCTTCTGATTTACCGTTAGTATTAATGTAAACCTGTCGCAGAGGCGCGTGTGCATATAATTGCTATGTTTATTGATGAGGTGTGTGTGTGTGTGTATTTAAGTTTGTTTTATTTATTGTTATTGGCCAGAAACCGACGTGTGTGTTAACGGTGAACGTGAATTACCCTAAATACCAAATCCGACAGTATTCACCCTAACATCCCTATGTCCTGACACTAGATGGCACGACACAGTTTTCCAAGAATGGTTCACAAATAATTAATGTTGAAACTTTAACAATGTTGATGTTTTAACCTTGTTGGTGTAAAAAAAAATTCCTCTGTTATTCATAAATTAAATTGAAAATAAAATAATAATTTTATATTATATTATAATTGTAACGCTTTTTGTTTTTCAGGTAATGTTTTATTAAAACAAAGAAGACTGAATTTTTAAGAATTCAACAGAAATTATTCGTTCGAAACAATCATTTTTGGAATTCACGTATTATGTTGTATTATAAATTTAGTACAATGTTGTAGTCTTTTGAATTTTTTAATCGGTTAATTTTTATTTATTTATAATTTACTTGTTACATAGATTGATTTAGTATTTGTTACGTTTTTATGCATGGACAACATTTTTTTTATTTTAAACAAATTCAGCAAACGGTCAAAATTTGATGAAATGATAGCTCGTAGTAATATTATATTAAAAAGTGAATATAAAGTTAATTATTTGGTGACTGGTAAAGAAATAATCTTTTGGGCGTCATAGTTAGTATGGAAATAACCACACCTATATTATTAATACTGCTAAAAACTCAATAGTAGTCATAAAATATATTTTACAGCCGAATGATGTAATCCCGTCGCAATAGTAACATATTTTAGTTTAATTAGTTTTAATTACACAATCGTAGTGTAAAGTATGTAACTGAACTTAAAATATCACGAAACTTAACGTTTTCTTTGCCAAATTTAAATTAATAAAATATATAATAGATAATATAATNCACAATCGTAGTGTAAAGTATGTAACTGAACTTAAAATATCACGAAACTTAACGTTTTCTTTGCCAAATTTAAATTAATAAAAGACAATATTATCTACCAAAGTTCAGCTGTATATTGTTATAATTTTAACTGAGTTCTATAGTCAATTTTATTTTTTGCATTAAACAAAGTTATTAATTTAGAAATGTAACATTCATATACCACATTTTCTCTGGTAGCATAGAAGTTTTGACTTTGAAATTTAATAATTTTCAGGTAAACACGATATACATATACACATATATAAATTCGAAATAATTGATTTTTAATTATGATTTGCCTAAGATAGTAGTATAACATTTATTATCATTTTTCCAACGAATCTGATGTAGTTAAACGACATGTAAAATTATAATTCATTGAATAAAAATCCAAATTATATAGATCATGTCATTTGGCTTTTGAGTAATCTCAAATTGAATCTAAAAGTGTAATGTTTACAATAAATATTCAGCCTATACGAGAAATGCATTATCTCAAGTTTTTTTTGTTGTGTTATATTTTTATCTAAATCAAATAATTAGTTTGGTAGATTTCGACCAATTTCGATGTATGATAGGAAAATAGCTGTAATAAATTATGTCAAATCCCGTGGAAATTGAATTTTGATACGTGATAAAAAACTTTTGCTACAATACAGCATCAAACAACAGTAAATCAATATTAAATGTATTAAAATACAAAATAAAAACTACTTGTCGTCACAAAAAATTATTCCTAATTATATCTAATTCATTTAATTTAATTTCTTATTAAATCAAGTAATTATTGATGATGTCCAAAGAGCAGTAATAATCCAAAAAAACAAAGAATATTAAAATTTTAACTTATTAACTTATACATAGTTATTTAATGAAAATTGAATAAATTTTAAAAAAAGTAAATCTTAAGATAAGCCGTACACTTATATTGAAAAACAAAATTATTTCCAATAAAAAGTACAGTGAGAGACTTTTTTTACGTGAAATTAAACTGAAAGTACTTATTAATTTCAGTAGTTATCAAAAATATTAAATGGTTTCTAAAGAAATATGACCGTCATATTAGAATAATAATAACTAAGTAACAGTTTTTTCTTGGTATTTAAAATATAATGTTTTCAATAAATGTTCAATCTAATAACTTAGGAATAAGTTATTAGAATAATAACTAAGTTGTACTAGAACTAATAAATTAGGAATAATAAGCTTATTAATTTAAAAAAAATCATTTTGGATAAGTTAAACTAATTTTTTCACGTATGGGGCTTATGGAATTAATTCTTCCGTTCAATTTTTTTTCATTTATTTGGAAAAAAGCTATTAACGTGGGTCTCATACTTCTGGGGTAAAAGTTCAAGTTTCTGATTTAATAAATGGTTTTCTCTCTTCCCCTCTAAATCAGCCATGAAATTATTTGAGTGCATGAGGATAGGAATTTTATAAAATTCGTCGTTTACACAATGTTTGGTTATTGTTATGGTGTAATGGGAGGAGGTAATAGCCACCGAAAAAAAATGTCTGGAATATTAATGCGATAATATCGTACTACGGTAGCTTACGCCGGTAAAAAAAAGGGTGAATACATAAATTATTATGTCTGTAATCTCTTTTGCGCTTTGACTAATCACACCTTCATTTTTGTTGATACTAACGTACAAAATCACCAAATATGTAGACCTTACAAAGCTTTATATGAGTCGTTTACAGGACCATCCCAAGAGGGAGCGTGGCTGGGACGTCACACCCCTCTACATAGTAAAATTTAATCATTTTAGTCGACAATTTTTATATAAGAGAATGCTATCAAAAAAATAATATTTTAAAAGGGTCGTACAATTAAAAAAGAATTATTCAATTGTGAAAAATACAAATTTTCAGCTAATCGATTACAGAATACTTTTAAATTAAAATGTAGGATGCTTTGAATTATATTTTCTTTTAAAAAAGTCATCTTTAGAGGTTGTTACAATAATCATAAATGAAGTTAAAATTCTCTTTGAAAACTACTTACGGTAGATTTACAATTTGAATTGCAACAATCTAATAAAATTGTTCAACGTAATAACTTCTTACACAAAGCTTTCGTGTCAAAAGTGCGATAACTTAGTAGTAATATTTTTATAAAAGGATTATGACAAAAAAAGGACCAAATCTTCTTCTAGTTCTATCTCCAAGTCACTATAATAACGACCGTTTTCCATAAATATATAAGTCGTTTACAATGATATTCTCTGTACTACTCACTATAAAAGAGTACTATAAACTGTTTGATCGTAAATTTTGGCTTTTTAAAAATCATTATTTTATACCTGAACTTCTATACGTGTACATAAATATTTGTATTTAAATGGGCTCTTAACGATCGTAGCGTCGCATTGACGTCGTCGCCACGTTTTGTTGCCGACGATGGCGTTGGTAAATACTCAAAAACAGCCGGCGGCAGATATTATTGCTGTGATAATTCACGATAATGTTTTTAGCTTATCGTTCATCGTCGTTAGAAGTTATTATATCAGATTCACCTCACCGCCGCCATCCTAGTTTCGCGACTAAGTAAGTTTAATGATAAAATGTTCCCATCGCAGCCTGTAAATAAGTGCGGCTATTATTGTTTTATTTCCAAAAAATAAAAGTCGTTTTAGCGAAAATAAATTTAACTGCCGGCGATGCGCTCTTGTTCAAATTAAATATAAATATAAAAAACTCGGTTTTTTTAGTTTAGTTAATATTTTAGAAGAATTCATTTGTCATCTAGTTGGTGAGGATCAAAATTTGTATGTTAACCCTTTTGCTCCCACTGTCCTCCCTAGAGAATATAATACTTATTTAGTAATGAATTGTTTATCTGTGCAAAAATGTAGTGACACATTATTCTACTATAAAACACGTGTAGATAACAAAGAAATAAACGATAAAACGTTATGATAAGCACTTAACAATTGACCAACAAACAAATTGAATCAAATTTAACAAATCCATTTGTTTCAAATAAAAAGTCGTACTTTGTATAAAATATAGGAACAGTGTTTCAAAATTCTGTTAATTTTTTTTTACCATGAAAAGTTCTATATAAACATGTTTCGACAATCAAAATTATCAAAAGTGTTATCATCTATTATTTGCGCGATAACTATGTGCCTCATATGGACAGTGGCGAGTGAGGGACGTCAATTCTCTAAGTTTATAGTGATTTTATCACTATAGCAATGGTTATGTTATGACGTATTTTAGCTGTATTTTTCAAAATAACATGTTATACTAAATCGTTTGTTTGCTTATTTATTTTTTTGGAGTTTATTGTTGTGAACATTTATAAAGAAAACTGAAATGACAAAAATGAAATTTTTATTCCCTCTTACTAATACGAAACCAAATACATCAGTGATATTTTATGGAGTATACAAAAGTGATATAAGAAATGTATTTTGTAATTGATGAAATAATTGTATGTTAATACCTAACAATACAATAATAATGTCAGGATAACAAATCTAGCACAGTGTGGTCGTGGCTCAGTGGAGACGTAGTAAGTTAGGGCAAATAATCATTTCTGACAGCGATTAAAAAGCACTATCATAAGGAACCCTTCAATTCAATTATGTAGATAGCGTTTAACTTTAAGAAATTAGTGGAATATTCCAAAAGCAACATCAACACCTATTTTCTTAATTATATTCTGATAATGAGCTTTATGGTTTATAAGTATAATACATGAATAAATACTTATTATAGTAATTAAATTTAGTATCAAATTAATATTTAATAATTTCCTATTGTAATTTTTAAAAAGTTATAGAAGATTTTTTGAATATTAGTCACTTAATTTCTCTTAAAATTATTATTACATTAGAAAAATTCTTTTTGATATTTTTCTATTTTATATATTTCTTAATTTATTGACTATTAAGTTTTTTTTTTTAATTTATCCCTTATACCTTAGAAGGGTATTAAATTGCAAAAATTGTTAAGGATAATGCTTTTAACTAAATACGATTTGTGACCTTTTGACGTATTGTTGAAAAAAATTGGTTGGTGAGATCTGAGAAAAAGTTGCGATAAACACAAAAAAAACACTCAGATTTGCATCGAAGCTAAAATTTAAATCTAGCTTATTTAAAATATTTCAACTGTTTTCATTCAATTTTCTGTGAAAAATATTGAAATAAATAATCTACGACATATAACTGAAAGCAGTCATATTTATATCAGTTATGATTTATATAGAAATTAAAACCGCGTTTTAATTTTGGAAATAGTATGACTCTCTTTAATGATTTTATGATTCCTTGGAAACATATTCTAGTAGTAAATACAATTAATAATCCAAAAATGTTCACCTTCTTTTATACCAAAATGAATTTATTTTCCAAGTCTTATTTAAGACTTAAATGTTAAATATTAGACTTTTTTGAAGATTATACTATTCAATTTTACTATAATCAAATTTTAGAAAAGAAATATATATATATAATGTGTTTATATTTCTTCTAAACTTTTACTTTATCAATTTTTTTAATTAATTAAATTTATGTGAAAAATATTCTAGTAATATTGTTGAAAAATATTTTTAACGGAATAAGACATTATGATTTTGAAAGTTTAATAGCGACACTACAGCATTTCCGGTAATAGTGTTATGATGAAAATCAGTTAGAAAATCAGTAAATTTCATTTCCTCTTTCTTTTGGCGACACCCTGAAACTACACTAATCTCCAGCTGATATGGATTTAATTAAAAAATAATACGTATTAAACAACAATGACAGCGACAAAGAAAAACTAGTATAGAGTATAAGAGTAAAGAAAAATTAATTAAAAGTCAGATTTCACAGACTCAAAAAGCTGGTATAATATTATACCAGTTTTTTGAACCACAATAAAATGCAATTATTGTACTATATTGTGGCCGCTAGCACATGAATAATATCTTCATTAAAAAATAAAAAACAAACCCTGTCATAATTCATTTTTTTTTATACAAGCTATGTTTAAATTATTATTTTCTTTATCTTAATATATACAGGGTGATTTTTTTATCACAGTGGTGGGTTATCATTAAATATCACACTATATATTTAGACACGGAATTAATTTTACAAATACATTATATTAACACATTTGACCTAACCGAGTTTTACATAAAATACATGAATTGCAAAAGAAGCGTTTCGTTTGTTTTTGCTTGGATTAAAATGTATTTTTTGTAAGTTTTACAAAAATATAAATAAATAAATCCATGTAGAATAGTACTAAAGTTTTGATAAAAGTAAAACAAGATGATTTGGTGTAGTTTTAATGATTTAAATTCCGAATAGCCTTTAGTTTAAGGTGTCACGTTGTGCGTACAATGTATTTTGTAAGAATTATTTTATTTTTTTATATAAAAAAAGACCATAACATTCTCATGGTATTAAAGAAAAGAAACAAACATCGTACTGTAGGAAAACGAGTCACGCAAAGGCGATGGGCGCCGATTATTAAGTCAAGGGAAAAATGCCATCCATCACTGCAGTAAGTCCTTTACTCGTGATAAAACGGTGGAATGCGCACATCGGATTTATTCGACGACTATTTGGTATTTTGTCACTCTCACCGTTGATGTTCTTTTTCTGTCGTTTTATCTGGTGCTTAATTTCATTGCGCACCTACCCATAGACGGATTATGGTGACAAAATATTGTAATTCAGAATTGTTTTAGTTTAAAAACTCGACCAAACCTACCACATATTGCTATGTTAGACTTCAGTCGAAACTTCTTTTGATTTTCACAACAATAATCAATGTTGATTACAATAAATTAATTGATTGTACTGTTCTTTATATTTTCATAGTCTAGACGCAATCTGTTGGGTATTAGAGAGACCTCAAGTCCTCAATTTTGTTCACAGCTTTCAGAATTGACATTTTCGTCAGTTATGGAAATTACATGTAAATTTATAAAAAAAATATTTTTGAGAAGAAGAAAAATTAAGATGGGTCCCCAAATATTTTGTTCAAATTGTGTTTATTGTTCGTTGTGGTACTCGTCATAAATACTTTTATTTTTCATTCAATTGGTAAATAATTCAAAACTATAAGAATTATATTTTCATTATGTTAATTAAGACTCGATTATAAAATTGTATTTAAATATCAACGGCATTAAATTAATGTTTCATCTACACAGTCAAAGAAAATGCGCAATATAGTCTTCAAAGTATCTTATTTCAATACATAATACGAGGTATAATTAAATGGTTTTTTCTCCTAGTAACTCCTTTTTTTTTTGTGTTTTAAGCCACTCAACGATTTTATTTTGAAAGTTAAGTTTTTATGAAATGTTGAGTGTTGCCTTAAAATTGAAGATCTTCAGCGCGCATCGAATTCATATTATCTGTGTAATAACGTCAACACTTTTTTTTTAAATTCCTAAATTATTGCATTTTATTCAATGTGGTCTACGAACATAGAGAAAATAATTTCAAAACTGCCAATTGAAATATTGAGATTGATATTTCCGATTTTTTAATAAATATAATTTTATAGTTTATAGTAGTATAATTCACTATAGTGAATATAAAAGTTTACCTATAAAATATATTGTAATATTTATCTCAATAGTATTCACAATACACTCATTTTGTTCAATTATATTGAATTACTATTTTAAAAGTTTCGCTACAATTTAGCGTCTGAAATGTTCACACTAGATATATTTTATTAAAGGACTAGCATACTTATGAAATAAATAAAATGATTCATTGAACTATTTTTTTAATGCTGTCCGGCATTCTATTTCAAAATGTATTGAAGTACTAAAACAAAAGTAGAAAAATAAATAGTCTTAAAGTAGTTCTGATCATAGCAGAAAAAGAACCAATCAACGCAAAGAAAGAAGTTTCGAAATCAGAGTCTGTGATGATTAATTTTAGTGAATTTACTTGAATATAAATTTAAATGTCTAAATAAATGTACGGTAATTCTATTTTTAAAACGGTTTATTGAAAAATCATATTTTGCGTTACAACATTTTAATTCTCTGGCGACGATATTTAGTGTAATACAAGATAAATTATTAGAATATATTATAAATACATCTAACGCAGAATTATCGTAGAACCTAATTTTACCACTTTTCGCTTTTTAATAGATCCTTTTTTAAACGTCCTTACGTTATGTATTTCAATTACTTTAGCTTTTAAAATAATATTTTACGTAACACCTGTTTTATTATGTTTCGCCTAATGTAATAATGTAATACTCTGGACGTACACCATTAGCTGAGGGTTTTTACTTTTATTGCTTTAT